GTTCTAGCGAAATTTTCTGGAAAAATCTGGTGGAATTTCAAGCAAGCTCCGGCAGAGTTTCAGACAAGCTGAGGCGGAAATTCTGGAAAGTTCCGGGTACTTTCAAGAAAGTTCTGGTGGAAACTTTAGGAAAGTTCCGATGGAATTGCAGAAAAGTTCCGGCAGAGTTTCAGACAAGTTGAGGCGGAAATTCTGGAAAGTTCCAGTGTAATTTCAGGAAAATTCTGGCGGAATTTCAGGAAAAATCTGGCAGAATTGCAGGAAAGTTCCCGTGGCAATTCAGGAAAGTTTCGGCAGAATTTCAGCAAAGTTCTGATGACATTTCAGAAAAGATCAATGGAATTTCCAGACAGTTCCGGCGGAATTTCAGGAAAGCTCCAGCGAGTTTGCAGGAATATTCCGGCGGAATTTCAAAAAAGCTTCGGCAGAATTTCAGGAAAGTTGCAGCGGAAATTCAGGAAAGCTCCGACAGAGTTCAGGCAAGTTGAGACGGAAATTCAGGAAAATTTATTAGTTATTTTAGGACAGTTCTGGCTGAATTTCAGGAAAGATCTGGGTTAAATGCATGAAAGTTGCGGTGGGATTTCTGAAAAGTTTCAGCGGAATTTCAAGACAGTTCCGGCGGAATTTCAAGAAAGATCTAGCGGAATTTCAGGAAAGATCGAGCGGAATTGTAGGAAAGATCGAGCGGAATTGTAGGAAAGTTCCGGCGGAATTTAAAGAAAGTTCTGGTGGAATTTTAGGAAAGATCTGGCGGAATTGCAGGAAAGCTCCGTAGGAGTTTCAGGATAGTTCTTGCGGTACTTTAGGAAAGTTGCAGCGACATTTCAGGACAACTCGAATCTGGCAGAATTTCAACAAAGTTCCTGCGGAAATTCAGGAAAGATCCGGCGTAATTTCAGCAAAGTTTTGGCGGAGTTTCAGAAAAGATCCAACGGAATTTCCAAAAAGTTCCGGCGGAATTACAGGATGTGCCAGAGGAAATTTCAGGCAAGTTTCAGCGAAATTGCCGGAATGTTCCGGCGGAATTTCAGGAAAGCTCCGGTAGAATTTCAGGAAAGTTACGGCGTAATTTCAGGAAAGTTCCGGAGTCATTTCAGGAAATTTCTGGCGGAATTTAAGAAAAGATCTGGCAGAATTGTAGGAAAGTTCGTTGGCATATCAGAAAAGTTCCGGTGGAATTTCAGGAAAGTTGCAGTGTAATTTCACGGAAGTTCTAGCGGAATTTCAGGAAAGATCTGGCAGAATTGTAGGAATGTTCCGGTGGCATTTCAGGAAAGTTCCGGGGTGATTTTAGGAAAATTCTGCCGGAATTTCAGAAAAGATCTGGCAGAATTGCAAGAAAGTTCGATTGCATTTCAGAAAAGTTCCGGCGGAATTTCAGAAAAGTTTTAGCGGATTGTCAAGAAAGTTTTGGTGGAATTTCAGGATAGATCTGGCAAAATTGCAGGAAAGTTTGGTGGAATTTCAGGAAAGTTCCGGGGTGATTTTAGGAAAGGAATTTCAGAAATTATCTTATTATTCGATTTTTCTGATATCATTCTTATCTTCAGAATTCTGTTCTCTTGGAGTTCTTCTTGGAATTCCTTTAAAAATATATATAGTTTTGTCGGAAAGCTCCATCATGCAAGTTCCGGCGGAATTTCAGGGAAGTGCTGGCGAAATTTCCGGACAGTTCCGGGTGAAATTCAGGAAAGTTCCAGCGAATCTTCAGGAAAGTTCCGATGGAATTTCAGGTAAGTTGAGGCAGGAAAATGCTAGCATATTTTCAGTTCTGGTGGAATTTCAAGAGAGTTCTGGCGGAATTTCAGGAAAGATCTGGCAGAATTGCAGGAAGATTCCGGTGGAATTTCAGAAAAGGTCCGACGAAATTTCAGGAAAGTTCTGGTGGAATTGCAGGAAAATCCCGGTGGAATTTCAAAAAAGGTCTGGCGGAATTTTCTGGAAAAATCTGGTGGAATTGCAGGAAAGTTCCGGCAGAGATTCAGACAAGTTGAGGCGGAAATTCTGGAAAGTTCCGGGGTAATTTCAGGAAAGTTCTGGCGGAATTTCAGGAAAGATCTGGCAGAATTGCAGGAAAGTTCCAGGGGTATTTCAGTAAAGTTCCGGCAGAATTTCAGCAAAGTTCCGCCGAAAAATTCAGGAAATTTCCGGCGAAATTTCAGGAAAGATCTGGTATTCCGGCAGAATTTCAAAAAAGGTGCAGTTGCAGGAAGTTCCGTAGGAATTTTTGGATAGTTCTAGCGGAACTTCAGGAAAGTTCCGGCAAAAATTCAGGAAAGTGCTAGCAGAATTTCAGCACGGTCTCGGCGGAAATACAGAAAAGTTCCAGCGTAATTTCAGAAAAGATCCAACCGAATTTCAGGAAAGTTCTGGCGGAATTTCAGGAAAGTTCCATTGAAATTGCAGGAATGTTCCAGTGGAATTTCAGGAAAGTTGCGGTGGGAATTCAGGACAGCTACGGCGTAATTTTAGGAAAGTTCTGGCAGAATTTCAGGAAAAATCCGGCGGAATTTCAGGAAAGTTACAGTGGAATGCCAGGAAAGTTCCGGCTATATTTCAGGAAAGATCTGGCGGAATTGCAAGAAAGTTCCGCTGGAATTTCAGGAATATTCCGTAGGAATTTATGGATAGTTCATGCGGAATTTCAGGAAAATTCCATTTCAGGAATGTTCGGGCAGAATTTCAGCAAAGTTCGGGTGGAAATTTAGAAAAGTTCCAGCGCAATTTTAGCAAAGTTCTGGAAGAATTTCAGGAAAGATCCAATAAAATTTCTGGAAAACTCTGGCGGAATTTCAGGAACGTTGCGCCGGAAATTCACTGACCTTTCGATTCTGGTGGAATTTCAGAAGAGATCTGGAGGAATTACAGAAAATATCCGATGGAAATTCATGTAAGTTTCCGGCGGCATTTCAGGAATGTTCCCAAATAACTTCAGGGAAGTTCCAAGAAAACTTCAGGGTAGTGAAATTATTTTTTGAAAGCAATGAGATCTAAGGAATAACATTCAAATTCTCGATCTTCGAAATTTTTCGACGATTACATGAGATTTTTTTTAAAGATTTTGAAGCTAGGCTACTCTTTCCCATTCTTAAACTTGGCGAGATTTTTAATTCAATTATGCCAAATATATTTATATATATTTCAAAATATTCAAATATATTTTAAATATTCAAATATATTTTAAATAATTCAGATTTATAAAATAAATCATAGTTCTTGGACGTTAATTTAGGATTCTGGCACATGAAGCATTGAATTTATGATGAGAATGCCAAATAAGTTGAGTTGCATTTTAGAGCAATTCCAGAGAGAGAGAGGTCTAAAGGAATTCGGCGTAGAATTTTGAGAACTTTTTCATGATAATTATATGGAGAAGTAAAGATGAATACCAAACTAATTATGAAGAGACTATTATGGGGATTATGGATATAATTCCAGGGAATACTAAAGTAAATCAGAAGCAATTTCAGGGAGCATTCTAAGGGAGTTCGGAGGAGGTTTCAATGTGAACAATCTACGGCAAACATTATGATGGTAGGACTACAATCCTGAAACTACGCCTAATGACTACCTACGGCCGAAGATCCTTTAAATGTTGATTATTCAATCAATCAAAGAGACGGAATTTTTTGGAGAGTTACAAGTTAATATGGAGGATAATTCCAAGGAAATCTTATTCATAATGTAGCACAAACAATTCTTTGAATAATTTTAGGCTAGTTTGAAGATAGCTGCAAGAGAATTCTTTGGAGAATACGTAAGAATTTTGAGGGAGGGTTTAGCAGGAAATTTTGATGCCACTATGCTTCAAATTCCGTATAGTCTCAAACAGTTAGCATTTCTTGAATAGAGTGGATACAATCTATCTACATATGCTTTGATTTGCACATTTTCAGCAACAAAAGCACCCTTGGCATGTTGCTTTGTTAATCTTCAAACGATTATTCATCACTTCTTTTTGAGAAGTCTGTATTTGTAACCATTCGCTCCAGCAAGCGTGACATTCAGCGCTATTTTTAAAACCACGCTATAATCCTAAGAACCTATAATTAAAGTCTGAGAATGCAAACATGCTTCCAAATACGAATGACGAATAACCTACACTGAGGCAAAAAAAAACTTAAGAATTTCATAAGAACCACTTATGAATTTTAGCTACAAGGATTTATTATGAAAATCATAAGTCAAAACAATGAAATTCAGCAAAAGTATTATAACATGGAGTAGACGGGACTCAAACCTTTAGTGTTCAGATTATTGACCCCGTGATTCGCGCTCTTATTTATCAACGGTTAGGCTAAAGGTGTATAAGAACCACCTTGTAGTGCGATAATCATTCATAGGTCGAGCTGATGAAATTCATAAGCGAATAATTTATTTGAGAAACTGCACAAGCTGGTATCAATACGAATAATTTAAAATTGTTTCGCTCATCCAATTTTTTAAATATTTGAACGAAAGGCGTAAAGTAAGGTGGGGTAAGATGAGGTAAAGTGGATCATCTACTTGATTTATTTATTTTTGTTTTGATTTTAAACCTCAACAGGCGCAATGTAGCTCCAATGCTGATTTGAAAAAGCAAATCATCATTGGGATTGCATTGAATCTGTTGATTTTAACAAACATCTATATTAATAAATGTACTCGCTGACCCATCTTACCCCTTACCTGCCCCTATTATATAATCTAACCGGATCCAAAAACTGCTAAATGTTCGTTTGCGATAAGAATGTGACTTCTGCGGTTCCTCAAATAAACGATTCAAGTGTTTTATGAAACCAAAATTGACCAGGTTCATAAGTTAAGACTTATGCAATTCTTAAGTATATTTGCCTCAGTGTAGGTAACCTAATCTACGTGTATGCTATTAATCATCTAATAAATGATCGCAGAGGCCTATCACAAATTTAACAGGCTGCAACAGTTAACGAAATTCCAACGAGCGATAGTAAAAAAAAAATATTCAAGTTCAAGAATCAACTGAATAGTGTACTTACCGCTCACCACACCTCCGGTCTGGGGAAGATTCAACCGTTCGAGCTTGAAGTCCCGCAGTTGGTTTGCGCTGTTGCTAGTGTGACTGCTGTGACTGGCGGAGGTTTCGACGGCGGAAGTAGTTTGGCTTACACTGGTGCTGCTGATGTTGCTCACGCTCTGCTTGCTGTTGTTGCTGACGGCGTTCACCGAGGACGACGACGAATGAACGTGGTTGTTGTGCCCGTTGCTCAAACCGTTCTCGTGCTTGCCGTTGAGTAGTTGCTGTTGACGTTCCCGTAGCTAGAACAGTAGTTTTTCATTAGATTCAGGATTCATGCCCGGGAGCTACCCGAAGTCGGTGGTACTTACAATTAACTCCTCAGTCGCTGTCTGCTGATGGAATAGTTTGGATTTGGACACGGACGAGACCTGCTCTACGTACGATTCCTGATGTTGGTAGATTTGCTGGTTCTCCGAAACGGTGGCCGACGACGATTTGGTCGTACTGCTGGTAGTGCTGGTCACTTGCTGCTCGACGTTCTCAACGGCCTGAAAGTGGACGAAAATGGAACATGGACGTATAAATTACCCTGCAGAAACACAACAAGTCAAACGTCGCCGTGGTGTAACTTGAGAAGGATGAGCACAGAAAACAATGTATCATGTGTGGGGCGAAATGTAACATCTGTCATTGCATATATCTCCACAACCGGGGCCGATTCCGACAAATCCATGTTCAACAGACGGCTGACAAGCTAAAGTCGATCTGCGCGGCGAAGAAGGAAATCCACAGCGGGATTTCAACATCATCATCCATCGCCAAGGATGATGATCGTCAGCAAGAATCTGCGAGTGCATACATATTAATAAGACGTATCGACGACAGGTGTCGCGTGTGTGCAGTCATGCTTGCGGTGTTGATTCGGTTGTTCGGTGGATTTATTTTTGAAACATTTTTGCTACACAACAGCAACCGCTGGCGACTGGAGAGCGTGTTCGTTCAAACAGACCGAGAGAGATTGGGGAATTCCGCGCTCACGCGGAGATCTCAAAATTTCCATGCCAACGAGAAAGCGCCCGAAGGTAGACTTGCGGAGTGATTGACACGTGACAGTCAAACGACACGGTTGGTCGTTTAGCTGAAAGAAGGCAGAAACTTGAGCACCCCTAGCCACGCGGTGGTTGCAGACTGGCAGGCAAGATTCGCTCGATTAAGACCGCGTGTTGTTGCACGGCGGCGGCAGGAAAGCGGATATCAAAGAAACGTCACAACAACAAGTGGCCGCCGATTTTGAGATTCGAGAGCGAGCGTAAGTGGCATGTGGCAAGTGGTTTAATGCAACCGGCCAAGCGCGCACGAGCTAATCTGCTAATTAATATACTAATTGTCACGTACGTGGTGCGTTGCGCCATAAATCTTCCCCGACCACGGGTGCATGTCGGTTCTGTTCCTCGTGGATGGATGGCAATATGGCAAATATATGGTAGGCTGATGAGAACGCGTGCCAGACAGAACGAAAGGGGGAACTTTGTCATTGTTGCCAAATGCCTCAGTTTGTCTCGGTTGACAGCTACAGACGTGCTGACTTGTGATTTGAGATAGATAATAGAATGGTTGTTGTAAATCACGGTCGAGAGGAAGGGTTTCTTTGGGCTTAATCATGTGATTCCAATTGGCTATTAATCGGTCGTTAAAAGAAGCATCAATTATGAGGCAGGCAGAGATAGGCTTCAAATTACTCTGATCAGCAAAGATGTACAATGATGATAGCTCATTTGACAGCTAAGCAGGCAGTTAAGTGCTTGATTTAAATCAACCGCTTTCTTTGTGTCAGTCAAAATGATTCAGGAAATGAGAAATTGCACACGAATCCCATTGAAATACAGTAAAGACCCGAATTGTGTCAGCCCCTCCTCCACGCATTAGACTCTTATATTTCAAAAGTTTCACAATAAGGGGTGTTCATTAACTACGTCGACAGTTTTTTTTTGGGATTCTTGAACCCCCTCCCCCTGCGTAGGAAATTGTCCATTTAAAATTTTACGACGCTAGTTATTGTTTTTCCAAATAGCATATAAATGCAGAAAAAATAATTAAGGCCTACTTTGATCAAATTTTCACAGCAATCAATTTTACGGATGCTCCGGATCTTTCGGCGATTCATCTGATGTCTGTTTCAGCTTATATATAAAAAATCACCCCTTTACTTCGTTTCATTCAGCTGTAGAGAATAATCAAGGCATACTTTGATCAAAAATACATGATAATCAAGATTAAGGTTGATCCGGGTCACCGGATGGCCTTCTGGTGGACACTCAGCAGTTAGAACCAGGTTGTGGGTTGGTTTTGTTAAGATATGAATCAGCACTACCCATAGATGCCTGTTACTGTGGATTTCCAGCATCACCTTGTTCTAGACGACTGGTACCTCCCCCCCCCCCGATGATCTTTCTGAAAATCGGAATAAAACCCCGGAATCACTTGGCCAATGTGTTCCAATTTTTAGTAGACCATAATTGCGAACATTTTTCTTTGAATTTCCGAGCAGTTCATTGAACTACCGAGACGTTTATAGAACTTTCGAAACTCTCATAGAGCTTCCGAGATATTCATGGTACTTCCGAGATGAGCATGGAACTTCGGGATCATAGAACTTCCAAGTAGTTCATAGAACTCCCAAGATATTATATACGAGCTGTTCACAGAACTTTTGAGCAGTTCACAGAACTTCCGAGATGTTCATAGAACTTCTAAAGTGTTCATATAACACTAGAGATTCGCATAGAACTTGCGTGATGAAAATGGAATTTCCGAACTGCTCGGAACACTACAACCGGCATGTTCATGGAACTTCCGAGAAGTTTATAGAACTTTCAAAACTCTCATATAGCTTCCGAGATTTTCATGGTACTTCCGAGATGAGCATGGAACTTTGGAGAGCTTTCGAGATTTTCCGAGCATTTCACAGGACTTTCGAGAAATTCATTGATGTTTGTAGAACTCTCGCGATATTCATAAAACCTACGAGCAGTTCACAGATCTTTCAAAAAATTCACAAAACTTCCGAGATGTTCATAGAACACTAGAGATTCTCATAGAACTTCCGAGATGATCATAGAACTTCTGTGCAGTACATAGAACTTCTGAGAAGTTTATAGCATTCAAAACTCTTCGTCGACTTTTGAGATGCTCATGAAACTTCCGAGATGAGTATGGAACTTAGAAGATGATCATAGAACTTTCGAGCAGTTCATAGAACTTCCGAGAACTTCCGTGCAGTTCACAGCACTTTCGATAAATTCATTGAATGTTCAAAATGTTTGTAGAACTTCCGAGATATTCATAGAACTTAAGAGCATTTCACATAACTTCCGAACAGTTCACATAACTTCTGAGATGTTCATAAAACTTCCAAAGTGTTCATGGAACAGTACAGATTCTCATAGAACTTCCGACATGTTCATGGAATTTCCGAGCCGTTCATTGAACTTCCGAGAAGTTTATAGAACTTTCAAAACTCTCACAGAACTTTCGAGATGTTCATGGTACTTTAGAGATGAGCATGGAATATCGGAGGTGATCATGTAACTTCTGAGAACTTCTGTGCAGTTCACAGGACTTTCAAGAAATTCATAGAATTATCGAGATGTTTGTAGAACTCCCGAGATATTCATAGAACTTACGAGCAGTTCACAGAACTTCCGAAATGTTCATAGAATAAATGATCATAGAATTTCCGAGCAGTTCACAGAACTTCTGAGAAGCTTATCAAAACTCTCATACAACTTCCGAAATTTTCATGGAACTTCCGAAATGAACATAGAACTTCCGAGATGTTCGTAGAACTTCCGAGAACTTCCGTGAAGTTCACAGGACTTTCGAGAAAATCATAGAATTATCTAGATGTTTGTAGAACTCCCAAGATATTCATAGTACTTACGAGCTGTTCACAGAACTTCCAAAGTGTTCATAGAATTAGAGATTTTCATAGAACTTGCGAGATGAAAATGGAATTTCCGAGAAAGTCCTTGAACTTCCGAGAAGTGTATAGAACTTTCAAAACTCTCATAGAACTTCCGAGATGTTCAAGGTACTTCTGAGATGAGCATGGAACTTCGGAGATGATCATGGAACTTTCGAGAACGTCCGTGCAGTTCATAGGACTTTCGAGAGATTCATAGAATTATCGAGATGGTTGTAGAACTCCCGAAATATTCATAGAACTTACGAGCTGTTCACAGAATTTCCGAACACTACACAGAACTTTCAAAGTGTTGATAGAACATTAGAGATTTTCATAGAACTTCTGAGAAGTTTATAAAACTTTCAAAACTCTCATAGAACTTCCAAAATTATCATAGAACTTCCGTGCAGTTCACAGCACTTTTGAGAAACGCATAGAATTTTCGAAATGTTCATAAAACTCCCGAGATATTCATAGCACTTACGAGCAGTTCACATAACTTTCGAGATGTTCATAAAACTTCCAAAGTGTTCATAGAACTCTAGAGATTCTCATAGAACTTTCGAGATGATCATAGAATTTCCGAGTAGTTCATAGAACTGCCGAGAAGTTTATAGAATTTTCAAATTCTCATAGAACTTCCGACATCTTCATGGATCTTCCTAGATGAGCATGGAACTTCGGAAGTGATCATAGAAGTTCCGAGCAGTTCATAGAAGTTTCGAGAACTTCCGTGCAGCTCATAGGACTTTCGAGAGATTCATTTTTGAGATGTTTGCAGAATTCCCGAGATATTCATAGAACTTACGAGCAGTTCACAATTTCCGAACAGTTCACAAAACTTCCGAGATTTTCATAGAACTTCCAAAGTGGTCATAGAACACTAGAGATTCTCATAGAACTTCCGAGAATTTAATAGGAATGCTGAGCAGTACATAGAGCTTCTGAACAATTCATAGAACTTCCGAGGTGTTCATAGAATAAAATCGAATAATTTATAGACATCATAAAGAGAGCGGTACCTTAAAACCGTGACGTTTTAGGGCAACAGTATATACTAGACTTCAACTCAGTAGACCATAAAATAGTTTAATATGGTAAAAGTTTCCTGTCCTAGAAAGTCATGTTGCACTTTGTAAATCTAAAGTGATTTCTTAAGTGAGTTCCAAGGGAATTCTGCAAAAAATACCAAGGGTATCGAATTTTGACGAGACAATCCCAGAGGCATTCTGGGTAGAGTTATATGCGAATTTCTAGGATAGTTCTAAAAGTATCTCGAGAAAAGATAACTCTAGATAGTGCTGGAATCAGGGCGTAACAGCTTTTGTAAACAATGACCTTTTGTGATGATTTATAGGAATTGAAGGCACGCTTACGCAAACCAGCAAAACCATGGGGTAAGGAAAGCCTTTCCCTATCCGATGAAGATGATGGTTTGCACGGGCGAGCCTTGAATTTTTAGAAATCATCGAGAGAAGTCATTGTTTACAAAAGCTGTTACGCCCTAATTCCAGCTCGATCTAGAATTGTGAGCTGAATTTCAAAACAATTCTGAGGTCAAATTCACTGATAGGCAAACAGAAG